GTACTGGATCATGTACGGAATCGTGGCGAGTCTAGTCATGAAATAGATAAGAAGCCTACTGCATTTAATCTGTATGAGCAGAAAATTTCTCAAAAACAAAAGTTGCATTGCATCATGGCAAGAAAGAATCTCAGTTGACGCAGCAGTCTTCAGATGTGGATCCAGTGTGCAGACCCAGAACCCCTTGGATAAAGGACAGCCAGGTTTTCCTCATGGAGGACCTTGATGAAATCCTCAAGAGTTATACTGTTAGTTTTTCTTCTCCAGAAGGACCTACACTCTCTTCTAAGGGTAATTGTACACTGAGGGGAACTATCAGACTTTCCAGGATCTGTTGGGTACTGGTTCCTGGAAACCCCATGAAGCACTATGGTTCTGCAGCTCATGGATTTCAGGTGATTAATGGAGTTTTGGCTAAAATTAAACTCCCAGTGGGTCCACTGGGTTCCTGAACTCATTCTGTGTTTATTTCCCAAGTCCCAGAATGAATAATTAGTATATATATACTTAGAAGTTGTCAGAATTCTCACATTGGTTCTATGACCCGTAGGGTGAGGGCTATTATGGTTGGAAAGACTAAGGGGAAGCCATTAGAGTTGCCTATGCCAGGGAAAATAGTAAATCAAAAACAGTATCACATCCCTGGAAGAACTGCAGAAATTAATGCTACCATCAGGAACTTGAAAGATACAGGGGTGGTGAGTCCCACCAAATCTCCCTTTAACTCCCTATCTGGTCAGTGCAAAAGATGGCTGGATTGTGGAGAATGCCAGTTGACCATTGAAAACTCAATCAAGTGGTGAGTGGCATCCATACCATATGTGGTGTCCTTACTCCAGCAACTCCAGCAGGTTAACACATCTCCTGGGACATGACCTGATATGTTGTATGCAGCTATTGATCTACCAAATGCCTTTTTCTTGGTACATTACATGGGGACCACAAGAAGCAATTTGCTTTCAGTTGGCAAGGCCAACAGAATACCTTTACAGTTTTACCTCAAGGCTATATTAACTCTTCGTCCCTGTGTCATAATTTAGTTAGAACGGATCTTGATCATCTGTCTCTTCCACAAAATATCACACTGATTCACTGAATTGACAACATTATGCTGATTGGACCAAGTGAATAGGAGGTAGGAACCACTTTGAACTTGTAACACAAATGCATATCAGAGGATGAAAAACAAACAAACAAACAAACAAAATTCAAGGGCCTTCTACCTTTGAAATTCTTAAGAGTCCAGTAGTGTGGGGCATGCAGAGATAGTCTGTCTAAGGTGAAAGATAAGTTATTGCACCTGGCCCCTCCCACCACCAAGAAAGAGAAACAATGTTTAGTGGGTATATTTTGATTTTGGAGACAGCACGTTCCTCACTTGGTGTGTTATTCCAACACATATACCAGTGACTCTAAAAGCTGCTAACTTTAAATAAAGCCCAGAACAGGAGAAGGCTCTTCAACAGGTGCAGGTTGCTGTACAGGCTGCTTCTACCACTTGGACCATATGATCCAACACATCTGATGTCACTTGAGGTGTCAGTGGCAGATAAGGATGCTGTTTAGAGCCTTTGGCAGGCCTCTATAGGTGAATCAGAGACCTTTGGGATTTTGGAATAAGACTCTACCATCTATCTGCAGAAAAATTATTCTCCCTTTGACAGAGAGCTCCTGGCCTGCTATTGGACCTTAGTAGAAACTAAGCATTGACAATGGGCCACCAAATTACTATTTGACCTGAGTGACCCATCATGAGGTGGGTGTTATCAAACTCACCAAGTCATAAAATAGAACGTGCACAGCAGCAATCTGTTATCAAATGGAAGTAGTTTATATGTGATCCAGTCCAGGCAGGTCGTGAAGGCACAAGCAAGTTACATGAAAGTGTTGCCCAAATGCCTATGGTGTCTACTCCTGCTCCACCGACTTTTGTTCTCAAGCTCATGGGTTATTCCATATGATCAGTTGACAGAGAAAGAGAAGATGAGAGCCTGGCTCACTAACTGTTCTATGTGCTGTGCATGCACCATGCAGAAGTGGACAGCTGCAGCACTACAACCCCTTACTGGGACAACCCTGAAAGATGCCAGCAGAGAGAAATCTTCACACTGGACAGAACTTTAGGCAGTACACATGTTTGTATATTTTCCTTGGATGAAGAAATGGCCAGATGTGCAATTGTTTACTGACTCATGGGCTGTAACAAATGGATTGGCTGGGTAGTCAGAGACTTAGAAAATTGGTAAGAAAGGTATCTGGGGATGAAGTATGTGGATAGATCTCTTTGAAGAGGCAATGGCTGTGAAGATATTGTATCTCATATAGATTCTCATCAAAAGATGACTTCAGTAGAGGAAGGAGCTCAATAACCAGTAGCTAGGATGGTCCATTCTGTGGACAGTCAGCCTCTTTCTCCAGCCATCCCTGTCATTGCCCAGTGGTCCCATGAACAGAGTGGCCATGGTACCAAAGACAGAGGTTATACATGGCTTGACAACATGGAGTTCCACTCAGCAAGGCTGACCTGCCTACAACTGTTGCTGAATGCCAGATCTGCCAAAAGCAGAGACTAACACAAAGCTCCAGATAGGGCACCATTCCCCAGGGTGACCGGCCAGGAACCCAGTGGCAGATTGACTATTGCTGGACCACTTTCTCATGGACAATGCTTTGTCTTTACTTGGATAGATACTTCTAATTCTGGTTATAGATTTGCATTTCTTACATGTAATGCTTCTGCCAAAACCACCATCCATGGACTTACACAGAATGGCTTATCTGCCAGCATGGTATTCCACACGGTATTGCTTCTAACCAAGGAACTCATTTAACACCCAGAGGTGTGTGACTGTGGGCCCATAATCACAGAATTCACTGGCCTTAACATGTTCCTCACCAACATACGCATCTAGTTTGGTAGAAAGATGGAGTAGCCTTTTGAAGACATAAAGTGCCAATTAAGTGCAGCAGCCTGGAAGGCTGGGGCAGGGTTCTCTAAAAGAGGTGTATGTTTTAAATCAGCATCTAGTATATGGTATGATTTCTCCTGTAGCTAGCATTCTTGGAATTAATCAAGGAGTGGAAAAGGGAATGGTCCTACTCAGTATCACCTCTAGTGACCCACTAGGAACATTTTTTTGCTTCCTGTTCCCATTCTGCTGCCCTAGACATTTTGGTTCTGGGCAGGGGGAAGGTAGGGGGCACTACTGCCAGGGGCCACAGCAAACATTCCATTGAGCTGGAAGCTCAGACTTCCCCCTGGCCACTTCTCATGCCCTTAATTCAGCCTAAGAAGTAAGAGTGTTAGGAGGAGTGATTGGTCCTGATTATCAAGAGGAAGCTGGATTGCCTCTGCACATTGGAGATAACTAAGATGATGTCTGGAAGTAACTGACAGGTCCTGTAGGGCATCTCTTGGTGCTGCCATGTCCTTTGATTAAAGTCAATGGGAAACTACAACAGCCCAATCGAGGCAGGATGACAAAGGGCACAGACCTGGAAAGAATGAAGATATGGGTCACACCTCCAGGAAAAGAGCCAAGACCTGCTGAGATCTTGCTGTGGGTGGAGGAAATACATAGTGAATAACAGAGGGAGGAAGGTAGGTATAAACACCAATTTTGGCCACACGACTGTTTGCAAAAAATGAAGACTACAACTGACATGAGTGTTTTGTTATATTTGCTAATAGTGCTTTTGTGCAGATATTTGTGTTTCTTTGTCATATAGGGTAACATCAATGGAGAGAATATCAGTGATTATCATATTTGTGTTGAGGACCTAAAGGAACATCCTTCAAGGGACACTACTCCTATTCTAAAATTGATAATGCATTTCCAGTTGTGTGTGCAATAGTTTTTTGTCATGTGCATGCAATCATGACCTGGTTAAATATATAATGTGTTTGAGGTTGTATGTGGGTAGTTATATCATGTTAGGCATAACTGTGAGCTGGATAATGTTTTCATTTGGAAATTAAGTGTGACATAGGAGATATGACTTCATGTTGATTTGACAAAGGGTAGATGGACTTGTGATGGCTATTCTTGGTTGTAAACTTGACTACATCTGGAATCAACTAAACCCCAAGTGGCTAGGCACACCTGCGAGGGATTTTTCTTGATTAAATTATTTGAAGTGTGACAACCCATTTTTTAAATCAGATCTTTTGAGGTGGGAAGGTAGGCCTTTAAACTGGGCCACACCTTCTGGTGGCCATCTATATGAAAGACATAGAGGAAAGAAGTGCCAGGATTTTGCCACTTGGCCTCACCCTGTTTACTGGCATTAGAGCCTAATCCTCTGAGACTCTGAGATACACTGATGGCTGGCTGAGACATCTACCCTTATGCACTGAACAGTACTGGAATCTTGGACCTTCTGTTAGGAGACAGCCATTGTTGGACTAGCTAGACTGTAGTCTGTAAGTCACTCAATAAATCGACTATACATATTGTGAATATATGCATAGACATATAGTCATTCCATCAGTACTGCTCTCTACAGAGACCTGACTAATACTGTACCCCAAAGCTTTTTGAAATCTATTGTTACTATCTCAGTGCATTCTTATATCCAAAAATGTTTCCTTGTGGCCTTTCCATGAGCCCTGTAAATATTTATGAACTATTTTCTCAGAATTTTAAGTGGCTTCTTACCAGAACCTTCTCTGTGTTCCTGAAGGAAGCAGGTGCCACCTCTGGGTTGCTCTGTGATGTCTCTTTAGCTTCTCTAACATATCTGACCAGCTAGTTATTTTGTGTTGGTTAAAGTAGTAGGGGAACAAGGAGTGAGGGGTTCCTTGCAGTTATCTGACCTCCAAACTGCACATGAGAACAAGCAGTATCTAGTGTGGAGCATTGTACAACTCAGATCCTGAGCCTGTATTCTGCTGACAATGTTTATTTTCTCAAACCTAATGAGGAGGCCTCACAAGCTAGCCCTATGCTACTGTTGGGAATATGTCCCATACATTGATGAACCTATGACCTTTACTCTAGTGAAACCAACCTGAAAGTGAAGCAGGCCATCTCTGCTACCAGTGACATGGAGGATAACCTGGAGCTGCTGTCTGCCTTTAATGGTGAGCTAGAAAATAGGCTGCCCACCCAAGCCGTCACCAGCAGAGGACTAGCTAACGTATGGTGTATCCATACAGGAATTCTGTACATTCCATTATAAACAATATGCAAATCGATAATCAGTGACAAGAGAAAGACATATATAACATAATAGAAATATATAGATTATAAAAGACAACATAATACATGTTTTGGAGAAACATGTTTGCATACATGCATAGGATAAAAAGCTTATAAAGATGTAATTCAAAAGGCTAATAGTGTTTTTTCTGTAAACAGTGAGTAGATTACAGTATTTCTCCAAAGCCTTTAATCCTAGCACTTAGGAGACAGAAGCCATCAATCTCTGAGTTTGGGGTCAGCCTGGTCTACGTAGTGAGTTTCAGGCTAGCAGAGGACAGCCTAGCCTGTCTCAAAAATTTTTTTCTTCATCATTTTAGCATGGTTATAAGTATTTACAAAGGAGATCCAGCAACATGGCTCAGTGAGTAAAAGTGCTTGCCTCCAAGCCTGTGACCTGAGGTTGATTCCTGGGACTCACATGGTGGGAAGAGAGAATCAAGTCCCGTGTGCTGTCCTCTGCTCTCCACACATGCACCATTGCATACATTCCTCATACGTGCAGAGTAAACCAAGCCAATAAAGGTTAAAAATAGTTTCAGAGGATATATTTACTAATCAGGGAAAAATAGTAGGCTCACTTTAGGGTAAGTAATACTTCCATTTCTTCAGCTTCACTGACACTGATTGGCTGAAGCTGATAAATTACTCTGTTGGTTCTCATTGGATGATCCATGGCAATGCAGAATTGTTGGTTGGTTGGTTGGTTGGTTGGTTGGTTGGTTGGTTGGTTGGTT